TTTTTCCGTTAATCATATAAAATTATAGGTACGGATCAATATAACTTCGATACTATAATCAGTTTGTAACCATGATAACATCAGTTATAGATGGTTCTAGAGCCCGTAGTTAATAAACACCCTTAGATAATATAATGTTGGCAGTTGTCAAAGTTCCAAGAAATCATTAGTCGCGATCAAGCCGGTAATCCTTCGATTAAGTCACAAGGCACCGACAGTTCTAAGGTGGGTTCTCTATAACCGCTCAAACAGTAAGATTTTAAGTTGTCAATAATCCTATTATTAAATTGTTTAGTTTATTGAAAAGTAGGAAACTGAATCTCTGGTGCTATTAATTTTTAAGAATAGCATTAGTGACTGATATGATTTTCTTATTTTTTTGTTATTATATATTCTGGTGTCTGTGACTATGTAAACGTTGAGATTTTTGTTTTCGCCTTCATTGTAAACAGTAGGTTATTTGTGTAAGAGACAGTATATTCTAGAAAAGAGCCGTGTTACTTATGGTGTAATTATTCTAAGTTAAGTGTTGTAAATTAGAAAAAAATATTAATTTAATTTTTTCCCGATAGAATCTGGCACAAAACCTTTTTGCTAGAGCATATTTGAAGTAATTAGCAATACATTTTTCCATCGGTAATACTTTTATTTGCCAATAGTAATGAGAGAAGCACGTCATATACATACCTGTGTATGTATCGAGATAACAAAGCGAAGTAAACAAATACTTTGAATGGACGTTACACTAGTCGCAAGTGCCCCAGGCCCCGATACCCCCAGGGCCCCATAGGCCTTAGTACGGCCCTGCATATTACACAACAGTTAGGACAAACTTACACAATTACACTCATATAACATCAGGAATTCTGCGCCATCAAAAATTTTGTTGATAGCTCTGTTTTTTTCCTTCAAGCCACGACAAAAACGAGGAATGCCATTGTTAAGCTTAGCTAGTAGAATAAAATTTTCGTTTGAATTTTATTTCACTAGTAAATTTTTGTGACGTAAGTAAATTAACTGTTTCTTTTACTATTTCAAGTTTTCATTGGTATTGAAATTTTATTTCTCCAATAGTATTTATAGCGGTATCCGTGATATACGGATGATCTTAAGTAGAATTAAGAATAAGTGTGGTAGAGCCAAGCTTCGGCACGAATGGGTCGGCTCGACCGGAGTGATACCACGGCCTCACAGAATACCGGCGTGAAACAACCCACAGCGTTGTGTTTCGCCGTGTAAGTGAGGTTGCCGGAGGCCCAATCCCTCCCCCCTTCCCCTATCCCATCCCAATCCTTATAACCGCAACCCCTATCCCCAAAAGGCCGGCAACGCACTCGTAACTCCTTTGGTGTTGCGGGTGTCCATTGACGGTGCCGATTGCTTACCATCAGGTAATCCGTCTGCTCGTTTGTCGACTTATACCATAAAAAATAGAATTTATATTCACTTTACAAGAAGCAAAATTTGGTTTGTCGGTCTTTATAAAGTAATAAACTTTTGTAAGCATAATAAAGAGTTTATAGTTAATAGTGGTTAGAGTTTAGTGTTCAGTAAAGGTTACCTAAAGGGTGTTGTTAGACCTTGAGACGGTTACACTGGCTCTGACTTTTATAGGAATCATAATGAGAAAGGTCATCAGACCTATGGAATGAAGCCGTATGACATTATGACATATTACACTGAACCAGAAAACTATGTGGAAAGAAACTTAAACAAGTCTTTAATTTATAACCCACAACTGTGCGTTTTTCGTGGAACTTTCGAACTCGTACAGCGTAACTATAGAGTGGACTGTTGTTCACGATATTTCTGAAACAATACTTTCAAATCTATAGAGAAAAAGAGAGTACTTCGTCTAATGCTAGCAATTTAATTATGACACCTTTGGTATTTCGAGTGTCCTTAGGCGAACCAAACATATAATTTTTTTATGTGACAGGACGTCAAACAAGCAGACGAATTACCTGATGGTAAGCAATAAGCGCCGCCCATGAACACTACAACAACACACAACAGACAAGTTACGAGTACGTTGCCTTCCTTTTGGAGATTTAAGAATTGATTTGGGACTTTCACTCACGAGGCGAAACACAACGCTGTGGTTGTTTGATGCCGGTTTTCTGTGAGGCCGTGGTATCACTCCGGTCGAACCGACCCATTCGTGCCAAAGCTTGGCTCTCTCACACCGAATCACTTAATGATAAGCAATGAGCGCGATTACCATCAGGTGATACGATTGCTCGTTTGTCTCCTATCCTATAAAAGAAGGTCTATTTTCAACAAAATAGATAAATATAATTGCCATGTAATTGTGAACTGTAGTACAATGGGCCTGTTGGTATAAAGTCCCGTAGTGTGCGCCCACTCTCTCTTACTACAGTAAGTAGTGACAGGTTTATATACTGTTCATAAAGCACATGTGTAGGTGTGCACACACTACACACACAGTGTGTGGGTTCATTCAGACTTTGATTTAAAAATAGAACCAGCCCCCAGTAATAGACGACTTTGTCTTTTCATTCAACGATCAACTAATTAAAGTTTCCTTTAAAAGAAGGCTTATAAGGTTCAATAATTTTAACGATACTCATGCTGATATACAAACTCGCTTCTACCTTATAACGTTTACTTTGTACGAAAGTTAGACAATGGGAGGGTTGATCTGTTGTTCAAGGAAATAATGTTTGAAAAATATCGAATTATTTTGTTCACGGAGGCCTGATAATGTAGCCGACGGATGTTTCGGTGTCAGAAGCTTTTACGGTACTCTCATCGACTTCCTTTTTTACGAATAATATTAATTAATACATCAAAAAAATTATTAAAAATATTTTTTACCCATTTCTAAGGTTGCGCTACAAATAGGAGACGAAGCACTTTTATATCAATTTTACACCAATAAATAAATGTATTTTTTTTTTTGGGAAAGTATTAAAGGTGGACCTTTTTATTTTTTATTGGAAGCAGTATTTACTGGAAAAAGATTTTGTTTCTGCTCTTGGGACTATATAGAAAAATCTTAGTATTAATTTTCCAACACCATAGAGGCTGAGTGTGTAGTGTACGTACTAAGTACGAGTTAGTACCGGTTAGTACCGGCTAGTACCGGTTAGTACCGGCTGACCGTAATAGCAAGTAACAGGTGCAAATTAGTTTCTATTGTTTAGGCAAATATTGACAGTGACGTTGGCTGGTTTACTGGTCACTTTATCATTCTCATTGGCTCGTCTGCGCCCACAATCTGTTCCTGAATTTACGGAATAATTTCACATGGACAAAAGCTCTTATAACTCAAACAATACGGCCGAATTTCGTCCGTCCACATTGCATACTGTTTCGACTTGCTTGTTGTCGAAACAAAGTTTGTTTTGCGAGTATTGTGCGCTTTAATATACAGTAATAAGGTATGTTTTCGCTTATTGTATGCGTGTGTATTGTTATCTATTCTGTTGCTTAATTAAGGGTACATCCATCACGGCCAGCCATTGATGGCTCATTGATTAAGTTTGTGTTCAATTTTTTGGTGGAGTCCTGAGATTGATTGGTTTTGTTAGTGACCATTGAAAAAACGCCAATAATTAATGTTTATTTATCAGGAACTACGGCCGCGTTTCGAATTCAAAATGAACTTATATTGTATGTAGTTGAAACCGCGCTTTTCATTAATTATGCTATGTATTTAATTTAAGCTTCATCATGAATGGGCGTGCTCGACCAGAGTGATATCACGGCCCTATAGAAACTCGACGTGAAACAACATTGATTTTCGCAGTCAGGCTTCCTGGGGCCTCATTTTTTTTCCTCCATTGCATCTCTTAACATCTAGTGCGGCAACACACTTTTAACTGATGTGGTGTTGTGGATATCCACGGGCAACGCTGATTGCTTGCCATCAGAAGAATAGCTAGTTTGCCAACCTATCCTTCCCATATTAAACAAGCATACCTATAGGTGTGGGAGAGCCATGCTTTGGCACGAATGGGTCGGCTCGACCGGAGTGATACCACGGCCTCATAGAAAACAAGCGTGAAACAACCACAGCGTTGTGTTTTGCCTTGAGAGTCAGGTTACCGGAGGCCCAATCCTTCCTCAATCCCCAAATCTTCAAATCCCTAATCCCTAAAAGGTCGGCAACGCACTCGTAACTCCTCCGTTGTGGGTGTCCATGGGCGGCGCTGATTGCTTACCATCAGATAATCCATCTGCTCGTTTGCCGACCTATTACTTACAAAAAGTATTACATTTATGGTTACTTTGTTATTATAATGAATGACGAGAAGTATATGTAGTAGGTATGTATGTATGTATGTATACTAAAGTCATATCATAATTAAAGTATTATAACAATCGATGACCTGTATACCCGCTTCCCTGCTGTATTGTATCAGAAACAATCGTGACGGACTACCAGGAAGGTTTCCATGGTAACGCCAAATACAAAAAGCCTTTTCTCTACTTTAAAGGTACTTAATCCTTTTCAGGACATGGATAATCTTTTTCATATTTTACCTGAAATTCTAGGAATGTTTTGCTTTTTCATCATCGTCATCATCATCAGCCTATAAGTGCTTATTGTTGAGCAAAGGCAGTCTCACATGGAGACAGTTTGAGCATTAGTCACCACGCTAACTCAAGGTGATTACAAACTTATATTAAAAATTATAAGTCAAGGTTGTCTCTGGAGGTATTTCCGCCGTTTGTCAGTGGTGTTTTAATACTTAGAAAGTACATATAACTTAGAGAAACCCGTATTAGCCCTTACCAGGTTTCGATCCCTCATGCATGAGAAGCTGAGCTTTAACTTCTGGGCTTTTTCCCTCCTATTGTTCTCAAAATACCTATATCAATGTACTAATCAACTAATTATCCTACTTCAATCATAATTTGCACTAATTTCATTAGGGTAAAGCCTTCAACTGCTGAATAGCGATATGAGATCTAAATAATTAGAAACCCTCATTAATGCGAGCTCCTTAATATAATTAAAACGCATATCAATCATGAAAATCACTGCGCAGCGCAGTTCCGGGGTTAACCCGGAATTGGCCCGGATGCGCAGTTCCATAAATGAGTGGCGACTTAGGCAAACACAGAAGGTTAATATGATCTCTATGGATTGTCCTCTTTTGTTATGGTAAAGATTTTTTCTTTGGCATAAAAGTATTTAAGGCAACAGTAAAATATGAAACGTTGGAATCAGAAGAACATTCAAACAATGTTGGTCCTTTTTTTAAATCAATACAAAATGTTATACAATTTTTTTTATGGCACTTGTACATAAGTACGTATTTATTCCTTACCCTTTATAGTTTATATGAATAATCTCACTTATATTATGGAATTTTCTTTATCCTAGCTCAAGCAACGTTCTTTATATAAAAAAAACACATTATTATTTATCCGATTCGAAAAAAGAACACCTCGTATTGATGTTTAAATTCACACTCGAGGCCAAGTTGTTTTTTTCTTTTACATGTAAAAGGTTGAAGTTGAAAAGGTTGACCGGTATTTTATGGGCGTCTGAAATTGAGAAATAACGATTCTAGGACATTGGGCACGTCTCGTCTCGAGCTCTTACAATTTGTACCTACTAGTGTTACGTCGCTATAAAGCAGTACTCTAGTAATGAGGAATTTTGTGATAGACTGACTATATTCCTTTCTTACATATGTACGCATTTCGGTAGTATGTAGTAGCTAGAGCAGTGACTACTCAAATAACCTTATTAGATTCTCAACTATATGCTTTTGTCATAAAATCAAAAATCCAATTACTTACAGAAACTGTCCAAAGACCTCTTTCTCTAGCCAAAAATCCTCTTTTTTACTCATGGCATGTACACCTTAAAACTGCTACTAAGACTCCATTTGGAGTGAACCTTCTGTGTCATCCGTCTGCAGCATAACTGTGGGGTTAGTGTGCAACATCAATCAAGTATTTAGGCGGTGTGGAGCTAAGCGGAATGATTTCCTCGTTGACATCCGCGCCAGGCTTACCGCTTCCAATGCATAACGATGCTTCAGACTGCTGCTAAGTCAACGGCCATTTTACGGTATTTCCTTGTGAATGCCGCAAGGTTAATTTGACAAATTTAGAGGAGTTCTTTGTCATAATAGATCAAAGAAATATTATTTTTTGTAATATTACATGAAATGGGTCATGAAAAATGATGATGAAAGTTAGGTAGGTATTATTTATATATATTTTTTTAATTTTGAAGTGTTTTTAATAAGTGATATTTTACAAAACGTAATGTAATGTGAATATTATTTTATTTGAAGAATTTATTTCTACATTCTTATCGCTATTGTTCGTTATGTTAGGAATAGTGATTACTGGTTGTTATCCTTATTAAAAAAATAAATTCGAATTATCGATGCAATAAAAATAAAAAATAGTCTCACCTCACATACATATGTAGATTGGTTTTACGATTAACATTCATAATTTTTTTGCTCTTATTTACGAAATATCTCTCTAATAATAATACATATCAGTACTTACGGTATTTGACGCATAAATAAACGTTATAAAGTCTCATCACACGATCACGGATTTTGTACAAGGTACAGAACCTTATACAAAATTCGTTTTTGATATTATAACAAAGTATTGAATTCGGCGTTGTCAAAAAACCATCTTTTCACAATCATACTTTAACTGTCGTTTGAACTTTCAAGTAAGAATAATAATGATGTCTAAAATGTCATTAAAATCTACCGAAAGCTCTCAAAACCACAGAATTAAGACAAAATGTTAACTTAAGTTCGACAATCGTCAGTGGACTATCCCTTCTAAATACTAGGCATTGAAGACTATAAGAACTTCTGATACTAAATTTTGTCCTCCTACAATAGCAGGGATCATCTTTTCTTAACATTTTATTGTTGTTGAGACTCAAGAAATAAAAACACGGTTAACGAAGGCATATCTTCCGAGTGTAGTTTAATTAATGCCGAAGACAATGGAACCGCCGTCTTTGTCTCTGCACAAATAATCTTAACCGTACAATGAAAACAGATTTTATTTAGTCGTAAACTTTACGGATGCTGGATGGATTTATGATGATGTTACACGTGTTGCTATGGCGATGGAGCGAGAATAACACGTTCATTGGGACTGTAAGCTATGCAATTTATCCGAAACTGTATAGATTTCAGATAGATATATTTTATGTAACAGTTACAGGAAATGTTTGATGAGTACGCGTAAAACGATGCAGGCTTGTTTTTGTTTTCGCTTTATATTTAATGAATGCCTATAATTTTTTATGATTATTACAATGATATTTCGTAATAATCTAGCGTTCTGCCCCGCTAACACTAAATTTGTCCACTATTTAATTTGAATGTATACGTATTAACCTTCCTTTTCAATCACTTTAGCTATTAAAAAACCGCATCAAAATTCGTTGTGTAGTTTTCAAGATTTAAGCATACATAGGGATATAGGGTCAAACGACTTTGTTTTATACTATGAAAAGACTCTGTAGTAATTAAGTATTGATTTAAGCCAAACTTTACATGTTCATAGTTCATTTCGTAAGCAACCTTATCGTATTGAACTTAAGAAAGTACAAATTGATTATGGCATCTAGATTCAAATTTCTTTTTTATTTGATAGGTCGGTAAACGGGTAAATGCATTACCGGGTAAGCTATCAACGCCGCCCATGGACTTCCAAAACAACAGAAGAGTTACTAGTACGTTGCCGACCTTTTGCGAATTAGGGATTTGGTGATTTTGGGATTGGGGGAGGGAAAGGATTGGGCCTCCAGAACCTCACTCACACGGCGAAGCAGTAGGCTGTGGTTGTGTCAGGCCGTGGTAATACTGCGGTCGAGCCGACCCATTCGTGCCGAAGCATGGCTCTCCCACACTTTACCAATATTTATACAAAATTTCACATACTTGTATTTCTTTCCCAGGTGCATGCGACGTCGCGGGCGGGGCGGGGTCAGTGAACGCTCTGCCAGCAGGCAGCGCCGGCGCACGCTTGGCACCGTCCTTCGACGCAGCCACGCCACGCAACGTTACCGCCCTCGTCGGGAAATCAGCCTACCTCAGCTGCCGGGTTCGAAACCTGGGCAACAGAACGGTAAGTACCTAAAAATTAAGATATTTTGTCGTATGAATTTTATAGTGATAATATTTTTATAGATGCAATAAAAGAATTGAAAACCACGTTTTCAGTAATTAAACAAACCTTTATTCATACACTCTGAAGAGAAATACTAAAAACACTTTTTTTGTCCTCACGTTTTTATCCCCGAAGGTGTGGCCAGAGGTCCATACAATGTCTACGCATTATATGTATATATTAGAATGTATCAGGCGGTGAGCCTATTTACGCTTACTGGGCACAATACCAAACCTCGTGCTAATATTAAAATATTTTAGAAAAAATTGAATCGTCCCAACAATGCTTTGTCTGAACCGAAAATCGAATCCGAAACTCGTGGCTTCGCTAGTCTCATTTGCCACCCGACCTATGTGGCAGATTTAGACATCATAAATAATATAATTTTGTAACACAACTATTTATAATATAATGTCAAACCTATTTCAATAGTGAACTTCATCGTTAACATTGTATAACTCCAAAATTCAATACTATATAGATGCCGTTGTGCGTATGACGTCATATTTTACATGGCGGTGTTAAGATTCTCCGCGACTTAATGACCCCCGCCAGTACATTTGTGTTTTGTGAAGGCTACTATCAAGGTGCACTCTCGGGCTACGTCCTACATGGAATAGTCACTTGAGACTCCTCTGCATAGCAAGTCACGGACACTATATTATACTTTTGTTTCAATAATTGTATAATTTTTTGGATTAGAGGACTGCATCCGCCACCTTCGTCCAAGTGGAAAAGGTTGTGTGGGACTGCGCCTATTTTATTTTATTAAGCCAAATACACGTTGACGACATTGACCTGGCTTTCCTTCACGAACGCGTGACGACACCGGAACAAAAATAACCTTTTACAATTTATTATAATAATATTTAAAAATGAAAAACAATATGTTTTATTAAACTACCAGGTATATTTTTCGTGGAACAGATAATATACCATTGACCTATAAAAAATATTAGGTATTACATAGGCACATACTCGTAAATGTGTTACTCTCGCCTTTCAAATAAAGTAGTACCTACTATACAATGTAATAGGCTATTCACATAGATACTTGTATCCTATATCAATGGTCAGACAAGTGAATATTTCTTTATTGAACTTTCCAAGAAATGCGTGGGCGGCTAAAATGTCAGTAGATATCAATACTTTTAATATACATTTTGTATATTGATCTTGTAAGAAGAGTTGATTACACACTCAATAAACTCAGTTTTACTAATAAATTGACGGAATAGTTTGTTTGTATATTTTGTTTTAAAAAACAAATCGTTGCCCCACACTAGGATTTTCTCCTGTGTCGTGCGTGCTGTTACAAAGATACAATTTCACATACACATGACACCCAGACCCAGAACCACAATTTGTGGATCATACAAAGAGTTCCGTGCGGGAATCGAACCCGCGACACGTTGCACGGCACAGTTGCCCAGCCACCGCATCAACCGTGCAGTCAAAATTATTCTATTTTGACTTTACAAAAGTGCATCTATATTTAGTTTAGTTGAAATAACATATTCTTTTAATTTTTGACTTTTAGTCATGTACATTATTTGACCGATTTATAATTAATTTTAATTATTTTAAAATCAATATATGATCTTTATTTAATTCATCAAACCCCAAGTGCGCCTATTGTCTCACTATTTAACTGTGCCCCGAATTATCACGATTAAAAATTATTATGAATTATTTTTCAACAATATAACAGAAATTATGTGTTTATTTTAGTTTGACGTTCAAAAGTGCCTGTAAGGGTCTAATTGATATATGTAAATGATTTTTGACTTTATTTTTATGTACCGGTCGTGACAAATGTAGCTTTTCGTAAGTCACGTGTGTTTTCTAAGTATGACAGTCATCACTTACAAACGGAAACCTTGACTTGTAATTTCTAATTCTATTGTAAGTTTAGTTTCGCCAGTAACGAGCAAAAGTGGATATGTTTAATTGAAAAAGACGTACTTATATATGTATGTGTGTACTACTTTAAATTATTTATATTAGATTAGATAATCAATGCTAGAAGCTATGTTTTTTGCCAAAAAAATATAAAACTATATCAATCAAATAGAAAACATAGAAGGTATTTTCTCTGAAACAAATTCGGTACAGGATTGATATAGATTTTACACATTTTCGGCAGACATGTTTGTTATTAGAAGAGGTCTCTCTTTTATTACATTATTGTTTCAAAACAAATAAATATTAAACAAAGAGTAGGGACTTAGTCGGTATTTATTTAATGGAATGTTACGAATAACTTGTGTTTCAAGACTTTTCGAATGTCTTCGAATTTTATCATAATGTGTGTTTTCTAAGTTCATAACTTAGATTGTAACATAAAAATAAATAATGTAATATTAATCATATTATGTATAATCTTCTTTTAAGTTTAAGTATATCTCGAAAATTTTATTAAAAATTATGACTTATTCACGTGAATTAACTGAGAATAGCTCTACTAGCTTCAAGTAACAACGGGACTCTTATTCAGAGTCGAGACCAGAATCAGACCTGAGTATACGGCACGTAGCGTTCCACACACGCCTCAAAGAGCCAATAGACTACCACTGACAGGGCCAAAAAGGGCCGACGTTCATCCAAGGCTGGAGGAGGAACGGGTGGTTTTTAGTCATTAAGACTCTGATACTCCTCTCTCTTTACCCTGGACGAAAGAAGTTATTTGATTGATTCAATTCAAAAAAAGTTTCCTTCCTACGGTTGCGGGAGCAAGCACAATGATGTACCTCACCCCGATTAGGAGCTGGTGAAGGATTGGTTTTTGGTCAGCCATAGTTTGACTATGAGAATCACACAACGAAAGTTTCCTTGCTGTTTCCCTTGACCAAGTTGTCAGTGGTGGAAGCACTGCCAGGCTCTGGTGCTTAGTAATCGACAGGTTTCAGATTCCATACTTCAGAAGCAATCTTAACATTCAGATTACGACAACGCCAAAAGACAGACATGAAACATTTTTATTTACACAATTCATTTTATTTGTTCTTCTTCTGTTCTTCTATATAGCTCGTGTATTACTCATCAAAGCCATACCAGAAGTTGGTATTAATTACATTTTAGAGACAGAACACCGTCGTCCGTAGCTTGGTATTTCGAAGCTAGGTACAGAAACTATCAAATAAATAACTGGACTGTGACAATCCGAAGCGCAGTAACTACAGTTCCAACCCTTTGCCCTTCCGCCCTTTAATATTGGTTCGAAGTCAGTGCTTCGCAGTTTGTCCTCGATATTGCGAGTCAATATCCTAAGATCGCCTGTTACTCGGTCACTTGGTCAAAGGACCAGCCATTTTGATATTACAAATAGTTCATTTATTACCTTCAATAGAACGCTATCTACAATTGCATTGCAGATGTTCCGGACAAAAATAAAATACTTTTACAAGAGATTCATTTAATTTCTCGTAAAAAATTGCAATGGAAATGCTTTTCTGTTGTTTATATGCATTTTGCTTTAAAACAGTAGCTTGATTACAACAGACTAATATGACAAAGCTTAATATATGTATATGCGAAAATGAGAAGCACCTATCAGAATTTACCTGGTACCTCTTTGTGTTATTATACATTTACATGCGTTGCTTTATATGTGAAAATTTATTTAAAATTAGGAGAAATTGTTTGTTGTTTACTGAGTCGAGTTAGATACTTTACGTGATTTTATTTTTCTTATTTAAAACTTTATTTTAAGTGTAGGAGAGCCATGCATCGGCACGAATGGGTCGGCTCGACCGCAGTGATTCCACGGCCTCACAGAAAACCGGCGTGAAATAACCAAAGCGTTGTATTTCGCCGTGTGAGTGAGGTTACCGGAGGCCCAACCCTGCCCAAACCTTCCCCTCCCCCAATCCCTCCTCAATCCCTAAATTTCCAAATTCCTAATCCCAAAAAGGTCGGCATCGCACTCGTAACTCCTCCGTTGCGGGTGTCCATGGACGGTGCTGATTGCTTACCATCGGGTAATCCGTCTGCTCGTTTACCAACCTATTAAGTAAATAAAAGAATCTTTATAGTTTTGTAGTCTTATCATCTTCTAAAGCAGCAATAGTACAATTAACTAGTTCCCCATGTCTAGTCGTCTTCACAATATCTATCGCAATGAAGTGTGAGGTTTTTTTTTTTTTTTTTTTTGTGAGGGGAAAATCATCAAATGACTTCTCCCGCCCAGGGCCGGGCAGGAGGGAGTGTCAGACTCTTACTGACTAAAAACCCCCCTGTTCCTTCTCCTGCTCTGTGCCGAGGTCGCGGTACCTTATTGCGCTTACCCCGCAACCCCGGCTGAACATCAGCCCTTTAGGGCCCCGTCTGTGGTGGTCTATTGGCTCTTTGAGGCGCGCGCGGAACGCTACGCGCCGTACGCTCGGGCCTGGTTCTGGTCGGGCGGCGAGCTGCCCTTACTCGCCGACCGCAGGCCCGTACTTACGGTGGCCGGAGATCGTTCCTCGATCCCCGACGCCCGTAGTGTCGCCAGTTGCGGCTGCTGGGGCGTGAGGAGGAGGATTGCTCCCTCACGCGGGCCGCCTCTCTCTTTGCGAGCATGACTGCTTCACAAAAGGAGGAGACGGCGTCCCAGTTCCTCTCACTCCGCACCATGGCCTCGACTAAGGCCGGGCGCGAGAGGTCGCCGCCGCCGATCACTTCCCTGAGGATACGGCGGTGCTCAGCCCAGGCAGGGCATACCGCTACCGTATGCTCCACCGTATCCTCTAGGTGGTCCTCACAATGACGACACTCGGGCGTTTCCTCCCGCTGAATCCGAAACAGGAACCTACCGAAGCTGCCGTGCCCGGTAAGCACCTGCGTCAGGCGGAAGGTGAGGACGCCGTGGCGTCTCTCAAGCCACTCCTCAAAGAGGGGTCTTACCGCTGCTATGGTAGCGTGCCCGGCCCTCGGTTGCGACAGTCGTTGTTTCCACTCTGCCATGAGATCTCGCCGGAGCTCATTCCGCCACGCACTAATTTGGCGCGGCAGAGGATCTTCGCCCCGGCGACGCGCGTCTGCGCGCAAACTGTAGACGCGCGCGAGCGCCTTCGCTTCTAGATCCCACGGCGGTGATCCGGCAAGGAGGTTCGCCGCCTCCCCGGAGATCGTGCGATACCCGCGGATTACTCGAATAGCCATGACCCTCTGGGACGCGACCAGCGTACGAGCCGGCCGCCGCTTCAAGGCCGGCGCCCACACAGGGGCACCGTAGAGGGCCATGGATCGCACAATCCCCATATACAACCTCCGGCAGGAGGCGTTTGGCCCCCCGAGGTTGGGAAGGAGCCGCTTGAGCGCGGCCCCAGACCGTTCTAACTTAGGGGCCAAACGACGAAAATGCTCCGTGAAGTTCCATCGGCTGTCGAGGACGAGACCCAGGTACTTCATCGCCGACTCGACGCCGATGGTAACTCCTCCTGCCGTTATTTGGGACCCACCTGGAGGTGGCGCGCTCCGACGGCCATAGAAGCACATGGCCTCGGACTTGTGGAGCGCCACCTCGAGTCCCAACTGCCGGATCCTTGCAACGACTGTCGCAACCGCTTGTGACATCAGGTCGGCCGCCGCCTGATGCGACCTCCCGTTCGCCAGCACCAGCGTGTCGTCAGCATAACAGACAATGCTGACGCCGCTCGGGAGGTCGGTGCGTAGCACCCAATCGTACCCGATGTTCCACAGGAGAGGTCCCAGGACCGATCCCTGTGGGACACCGCGCGACACCTCTCGCCGATTCCACACGCCCCGGTGACCGGGGTAGATGACGCATCTGTCCGTCAAGTAAGCCTCGACTACACGACGGAGATAGGCAGGCACCCGGTGATACCGGAGTGCCTCCAAAA